ACATTCTTCATGTTGGCAAGTACCAACCTACATTCAAATCATCCTATCTAATGACATGAAGTGGTGTTTGTCTAACACCTTTCCTTCATGAAACTCTTGCCTTTCAGTAGCAAAAAATTCAGTCTTGGAACTTGTCCGTCAAGACAAACTATTTAGTGGTCTAATAGTATTGCCTTGCTTTCCTGTATGTTCCTAGCTTCCTATTACATTTATAGTTTTAACACATCAATATAATCTCAATATAATCCTGCTAGCTCCAAAGTACTCTCCAAGCAAAGTGCACCATGTAGTTAAAATTATTTAATTCCATTTAAGATTAGTTTTTAAGAAACTTACTGTTTTACACAAAATTTCCACCTAAATTACTCCTCAGCTGCACACCTTGTGTCTCCACACGTTTAGAGCGTCAGTAGAGTGCAACTGAGCTGACACCAAGAGCCTATGTGCTCAACAGACAACTCTACTACTACTCAAATAATGTTACTATATTAAAACCTCTTCTAAAAATAGGAATACAGTAAACAGTTATGTTAATAATTTTAAGGTAGAACTTCATATGGCTATGTCAAAGAAAAAGTGTTTAAATCCTGATTATTCTCTGTTTGATTATGAAGAGATTATCCTGCTAAATTACCAGATCTATACTCACTAAATTAAAAATTTGAACCATTCATTCTCAGCAACATTCATAATAAAATATATTCAAATATGTGAATTTTAGAAGTATGAAAAGAATTTTATTCCTATTTTTCAGGTCACACAATTCTAACAATCAAAAAATGCAAGTATTTCACAACAAGAAAATAACACCCTTACAGTCACTTTGACAACATTAGACAACATATGTTTCTTATTTAATTTATCTCTATGGACAATTCACAAAAAACATTAATTCAATAATGTTTACTAACTTTAAAATGTATTTGTGTTTTTGAGGGAGACATAGCATATGCCAATTATCTTAACATCTTGGATGCCAGTACTACTTAATAGTAAACAAAGAAATAATACACTGCCAAGTAAACAAAAAAAAAATTAAATTAGACATTACTACTAATATTCTGAGAGCATTATATGTGAGCCTGTAAGTTGGAGAACACTCTTCTTCCTTTCCCTTAATTTGTATGATAGACCAAGAGCAGCCTTCCAAACCAAACAGGAAGAAGGAATGGGGTTCAGGAGGGAAAGATGTATGCATTTTATTGGAGAACAAAACAGATATTTGCCAAGATTTGCAAATATTTCATTATTTTTTCAGGGACTCTGTAAGTAGACACAAATACTGAGGGTTTATCTATCTAAATGATTACTGTGGCATACAATATTCTGGACTTCAGAAAGTCAAGACACAAACACACAAAACTCATTTCTGCTCCTAATTGAGAATAAAGCCTCTGGGCAATTGAAACATTATGCTGCATTCAATTTTGAATATTATTTTGGTTTATTTACAATTAGAGAGTGGTATAAAGGCAAGATTGACACTTCAAGAAAAATAATCATACACTGGAGCAATCTCCATTTGTAAGCAATGCAGTAATAGATGTTACCAGGTTAGACATAGTCCCATAGAAGAAATGGAAAGAGAGCAAGTAGATTTTTTTTGACAGCAACTAATTTTAATGGTCACTTATCAAAGTAGGTTTTCAAATAGACAGCAATTGGGAACAAGCACAAGGATTACTGGATTGTAAAAGACTAATGTTTCCTCACTGTTGTGCAGTAGTTTGCATATAAGTATAGACGAAAAGCTGATTTCATGAAGAAGCCTAGATCAATACATCGAGATAAAATTTACAGAAGACCTATTGTAAACTAATAATGATCTGTGAAACCTGATTAAAAGAAGTCAAAGTTCTACGATATTAGGATTTATTTTAAGGATACAACATCCTGGGAAATTCCTCAGCTACTGGAACTAGGACTGGTGGTGTTTGTGCTCTATTTTTTCCAGTCTGAAATTTCAGTAGTGAAAAATAGAACATAGAAAGACGATACGGCAAGATGATTTAACTGACATATGACTAATGGCCTTTAAAAATGCTAAGTTTTTTTTAAACAACTAAACTGTGTATATAGACCATGCAATAATGCTAGTAACGTGCAAAGCACATAGAGGTGCCTGCAATTTCTGAACATAACCAGAACAGCTTCATTTATTACACTGAATGTTTTGCACTGTTGATTGGAAAATTATTTGAGTTGAAGTATTTATTTCCCAATTCTGCTACTACTATTTATTATTACATAGTACCTTTTATTCTATGATCTTTAACATGAACCTGGTTTGACTTTACATGTGAGAAAACATTGTTAAAGAGAGATTAACTGACTTGAACAAGACCACACAATAAACAACTGGCAAAAAAAGCTGATCGCAGATAGTGCCAGCTATCTTCTTGGATCCTCTGGCTTTTGTATAGCTCTTATGTATATGAATTCAAAGCACTTACCTTCTTATTTGAAAATTCGGAAATAATCTTGACTTTTAAGAATAGTCAACGATTTTGATACAGTCTTCTGTATAATAAAAGAACACCGTATTCCTTGAAGGAAATATAGCTCTGTACTAAATAAGCTGTGTAGACAGTTACTGATGGTCACAAAGAAACAGAGAAAGTACTAGAAAGATTATAAATAATACTTAGTATCACAAACTACAATCACATTTTGTTTTTCAATTTGCTCTATTTAGAATCTTTGCTACTTGATCTTGCCTTTTAAATGTTGTCACTTCAGTTTGAACAATAAAGATATACTAGTCAGTTCTAAATCAAATTTTAACATATGTAATATCTTCTCATTTCTTTTGAAAAATGTAACTCTTATATATTTTTAAGTTCTCTGCCAAACTTAAAATAGAAAATATTTCAAAACTGTATATTTGACTTCTTGAGTGTTCCATTATGGCTTTCATCGAGGTTTTCAGAATTATAGTATCTTTAGAGTGAAACAAAACAAATCCTGGAGAAATAATTTCATAGATATAATTTTTGTACATTTGAGACATTCATGTTAATACTATCCCTAACACCAGATGTGTTTTTCATACTTCTATACACAATTTTCCCCAGTTCTATTCAGTTCCATACACAATATTCAGAGCAATTTAAGATCTTCTGAAAGACAATCTTGTCACCCTACACCATGATAAATCCATGGGAATCCATTCAGAAATGGTTTTTTGGAAATAGTTTAAATAAGGGAGAAATATAAAGAAGCCTTAATATGAAACGGGGAATTGAAATACTTAAAAAAGGACAGGTACCTTTCACAAAAATATTGGGGTTTTTTGCAAGTCTCCACTTTTACAATAACACTAAGAAGATGTTTTGATTTTCTTTTTATGCAAAAAACCACAATCAAACCAGGACTTGATTGAAAAGTTGGCATTAAAGTCCTGGAAAGACCAGCCTTTTCTGATATTTCTTGAACGTATTTGTAAAGCAATTTGTTACAGTCTGCTTTGTGTTTCCACACTATAGCTGTTTGTTTCATTTCATCATGAGAATTTATTCTAAGAAACTCATGGAATGGTGAATCAGATTGGGCAATTTTACTCTGCTTTGCTTTACTACTTCTAAAAAGGAAGAACGTTTGAGGCATATTTACCAATCCTATAGAAATAAAATAAAATCTACTGACCTCTCTTAATTTTAAAGCAGCATGTCTTGTCAAAACATTTTTGCACTTATAAAAAGAATAAAAGTTTAAAAAAACAAACTATGTTCATACTGAATTTTTATTTCTTACTTAGGCATCATATGAATTGTAATTTAAAATGGCCCTAAAATACTCACAAAAGTATGTGTACTCTCCCTTCCCACCTGGAGTTAGCATCCCCTCAGTAACTAAATCACTTACAGAATAATGTTGTATATACTCAAACAAACCAATATAATTTATAAAAATTAAACTTCTTGGTATTTAAAAAACAGAAATGCATTCAATCTTAAAGGTCAAAAACCCTAGACACTGAGAGGGTTTTTTATATAAAAGAAAGAGGAATGTATTGAAAAAAGCTTTAAATGGAACATTTGTTCCTTTTTGAAGCATATGATTTCTGTTTTCAAATCTTACATGGTGAAAAATCATTAACTTCAGACAAGCATGAGTTCACACAAGTGATATAAAGGTGTATCAACAGAATGGCTGCATGAAAATCAAAGATATTAAAAGACATATTTTAAAGACTACTGATTTGAAAATACAGTTCTAATTTACAATTGCCAAATCTCTCTTTATTTCCTAATTATATATGAAGTGGGAATGAAGTCAACATTAGGTAGAGATAGATCTAACAGAGAATATTGAAGTATGTCTTGTTCAGATTTATGGTCAAGGCTCCATAATAAAGAATACAGTGTGCACCACAGAAGCACACAAAGAAATCTTTGTTTAGAAAGGATTCTATTACTTATTCATCAAGCATATCGCACTATAAAAATCTAAATATCTAGGAAATCAAAAATCTATGGAGTAACTCAGTATTAAGTATTGCTCCTCCGCCCGCCATTCTCTCCATGAATCCTTTATTCACAATGTCTATTTAAAATTCAAGTGCAAGCGTGTGGCTTTCCACTAAAAGGAAGTGGTTCCAGATACTAAAAATGATGACCGAAAAATAAATTGATCATTCAAATATGACATCCTACAGATTTTGACAGAGAATTTCATTTTAAAACGGATGCCTGTAATAGCCATCAAAGGTAAAATAGGCATTGGTGAGTTACACACTGAAAAATAATTCACAGCTCATTTAGAGGGGAACAATAGACTAGTAGATGACTGACTCCTCCCTCTGACTAAGAAACCATTAGCTTATTTTCTCAACTAAACCCATTCAAACTAACAGGACCCTAACTCTGCATTTGCCACACTGTCTCCCAGCTCCCTGAGCTCTCATTATTTTAACTTTGTGCGAACATCACACGAATAGGCGTCCTTCCTACTCGGCACCAGCACTGAGGGTTCCCAGAGAGCGCGGGCAGCTCCAGCTAGGAGGGGCAGCCGGGGAGGCAGCGGAGCGAAGCAGCTTCCTCCTCGGCCCGCTCACGGCTCTGTGCTAGCACAGGCGCCGTCCCGCTCCCACCCACGTGTTTCGCGACCGCTTTTCCACGCACAGACAGGTATGTACGGGACGACACGGTGCAGCCCGTGCCCGGTAACTCCCGTTCCAGGCGAGCCCTGCCCGAGGGGTGCCCGCAGCGTCCAAGCCCGGGCTTCCTGGCAAAGCTGCCCAGCCCGACCCCACCTCCCTTTAGGAACCTCGGCAACTGCGAGATGCCCCTTGCTTCTCCTTCCAGCCGCGGGGAGCGAGGACGGTCGGACGGGGGATCCCGTCGTGCCCACACCTCGGTGGCCGCCGCCCCCGCTCCCCGCGGCCCGCAGCAGCCTTGGGGAGTGCGAGAGCGGCCCCTCCGCCGCGCCCCCACACCCGCGGCCGGAGCGCTGGGCCAAGCCCGCTCCTACCGTCTGAGTCCCTGGAAGGAGGAGGGCCAAGACATCCGCGATTTCTTCAAGCCGGGACGGTGGCCGGTCTCCATGGCGTAGGAGGCGCGGTCCATAGCTTGGCAGTAGAGGTATCGCTCCGTATCGGAGTAGCCGCGGTGCCTGACGCGAGCCCCCGCCAGGCAGAGGCCCCGCGATGCGGTCGGCGGCGGCGGCTGCCCGGGGTGCTGCTGCTGGTGCTGGAGGAACTGGTGCTGCCGCAGCTGCGGCGGGTAGTGCTCGTCGTGTCGCCACAGATGCTTGGGGGCTTTCAGACTCCCGCTGCCCCCGCCGCCGTCGCTGCTGCCGTCGGTACCGCTGCCGCCAGGCATCGCGGACAAGCCGCTGCCGTGCTCTGCCTCCATGCTGCCGCCGGTCGGGTCGGGCCGCGCTGGGCGGGCAGGGGCGGTGGCCACCACCTTCCCTGGGGGAAGCGCCGGGGAAACTGTGCTGAAAAGTTGGACAGCTCCTGCCGCGCCACCCCTCGCCCGGGTGTGGGAGCGGCTGGGGCCGCCGCGCCACCGGGTCTTTCCTCTCGAGAGGGGAGGCGGGGAGAATGGGGCGGAGGGGTTGAGGAGGAGGAGAAAGAGAAGGAGGTGGAGGAGGAGGAGGTGGTGGAGGTGGTGCAGGAGAGGGGATGGCTTCCCTCCAGGAATATTTAAAGCCAGGCGGGAGCCAGGGCGGGGGAGAGTGGAGCCGGTATCGGGCCGCGGACGGAGCACAGGGCGCGCTAGAGTGTGCAGAAGGAGGGGCAGAGCACGGCCCGGGTGACGGCAGGGCTCGGAGTTGGGAACAGAATCAGACGTGAGTGCGGAGGGGCTCTCCCTGCCACTGCTCATCCCGCCTCTCCCGAGGCGCACCTCTAACCTCCTCAGGCCGTGGCTGATGGCCGGACACAATTTCCCCCAGGGGGACTCTCACTGCCAAGAGACGGCAGGTAGCAAATTTACACACACCCCACTTCACCGAGAACTTTGAGGTGGGTTAAAAATGGGTTCTTACTCCCTAAACTCCTCCACTCCCCACCCTTTATTCCCTATATCGTGCTTCCAGTCTTTGCCATATCAGGTTCAGAAATCGTCTTTCCCAACTTGAAACCTTGCCCTGGTCTGCCATCTTCATCGATGAGTAAGCTCCCTCCCAGCAAGGAGTAAGACTGGCTGTAAATCAAGGCGAGAAGGGTTTAATTATAGCGATGCTGAGCCTACTGCTACAGAGAAGCTTTTTGATTATATTCCACTAGTTTCAGGACTTTATAAATGCCGCAGGAAAAAAATCATTTAAAGTTAAAATTTACAGACCAGGAACTTCATCATAAGAGAGTTTTAAAATTAGTTTTATATTGCAAATTCTTTTGTATTCATTTAAAATTAATAATTCACAATGGCAGAAAAATAACAAAGTATCAAGTTTCTTTATTTTTTTAAGTAGAATAGGTATTTGGGGTGTGTGGTAATATTCCAAAGTCTAACACTTCTTGTTCACAGCAAAATTCTAATCTCTACACTCTTGATAGCATATGGAAAAGACAAAAGGAAATACTAATTTCAAAACTACTAATATGTATTTGTATCGTCCTTTTATTCTGTTTGCCAAGGTATCAGAACCAAGCAATAAAGAATGGCAAAAATATCTCTACTACATTACCTTTACAAAACTATACATTTTCTTGCAGTCAATGTTCGTCTACTCATTAGACTGTTCTGATTAGCTTCATGCACAACTTCTACTTCCTCAATCATAAAATTGGTCTTGTCATCCCTTTTCTCTTTCCATTACTGATCTGCAATAATTTAAAACCTCATCAATTTCTCTTGGAACTTAATTTCTTCTTTTCTTAATTTCTTACTAATACAAAAGCACATCTCTGTGAACTCATAAGTGTGTTGATCCACTTTTTCCATTCTCCATCCTAAAGCCAGCCTTTCTTCCCACACATACAGTGCTCCTAAAATTAAGATTCACCCTCTAACCATGTGCATCCAAGCTTCTGTTGGGTAAAACTCCCAGTCTGGGTTTCTTTGAGCCAACAGTACATTCCTAGGTAATCCTGGTGATCATCCACCATCCATTCATTTCTTCTTTCCTGCCATAATAACTGTTAGCTTCAGCAAACAATTTCAGAAAATAGTAAGTCATAATAAATATTGTAAATCCTGGAAAAGAGCCTAAGTAGTACTTCCATTGAAGAAAGTTTGAGCTTGAGCTCACATTTATGAAATTCGGATTCTTCTGCTATTTATCCAGACATACAAGACTATTTCCAAGCCAGACATTTTAGATGCTACTACTTACCTAGCTGTGTAAGACTGTGACAGTTTTGACAGCATGTGCAGGACACATAAATTGGAAGAAGATGAAATGACTGAAGTCCGACAAGAGGAGAGAATTATATCCAAAATATAACAATGGGGATAATTGCAATGTAGGACATAGGATGCAAACCCATTAACTCAGAGAAGAGGAACTACCTTTTATCCTCATTAATCTCCACTGGAATATTGCACAGGGACTGTATCTCAAAATTGCTAGTTCCTTCTACTCTTAAAATTAGACGAAATTTCTGTGATCAATCTCTCTGTAATTTCACAGAGTCAGAGAAGAGCATTTTGGAAGGGCCTTCATAAGGTTGTCCAGTCTAACCTCAAGCTCAAAATGGAGCTATTAATCAACACTAGATCACATCAACCACAGCTTTCTCTGAATCTCAAAATCTTCCAACAACAGAATTTCACCACCCTCTGTGGATAACCTACTGTGGTGCTTCACCGTATTCCTAATGAGGACAATTTTCCTGATGTGAACATTTGAACCTCCCAGCCAGGGACCCTTGCCCCTCCTTAAATAGCATGGTACCACTGTCAAAGGTTTAAATTTGTTGTCTTTTGCTACTAATCTTCCCAGCTGCAGGATGCCTTCAGATTTTCTCTTACCTCCTCCACACTAGACTCAGCAAGCTCAGCCCCCTCAAGCTCTCATCAATGATCATGTTCTTTAGGCCTGAGCCATCTTCCTGGTAGCCTCCTCTGGGCTCTCAGCATTCCAATTCATTCATTACCTACAGTCACTTTGGCACACAGTTTGTTTTATTTATGATGAAGACTGCAGTGTTAGCTGTTATCCATGCCACAGTCCACCGAAGCTCCCACGTCCTTTCCAGCATGGTTGTGACCCAGTCAATCACTTGCTGGCTTGAACCAGTGCTTCAAGTTGTCCTGTCTGGGTGCTGAACTCTACACTTCAACATGGGCTCTAGTAGCAACCCCTTATGGTGATGTCCTTGACACCTGCTAGCTAGATTCTAAGAGACCATTCTCTGCATTTCAGTCCCGCCTAACAGTCAGTTCATCCAGTCCAGATTTCTACAGTTTCCAAATGAGACTGTTTGGGGAGATTATTTCTACTAAACTGAAGGTGTGCTACACCCATTGTTCTCTATTCCAAAGAGTCTTTTCATAAAGGAATACAATTAGGTCAACGCCAAAATATTTGCCCTTGGTAAATCTAAATGTTGAGTAGTCCTGACTACCTTCCTGTCTTTTGCATGTCTGGAAATATATTTAGAGATGTGCTTGGACCTTTCCACCAAATCATGTGAGATTTTTAAGTCTCTAGTACTTTTAATTTTCTCTTTGCCTTTCTTAAGAATGAGGGTAGCATCAACATTTTCACAGCTGTCAGGGACTTCCTTAACCATTATGACTTTCCACAAAGTAAAAACAGCAGCCTCATGGATACCCTTTGGATTGACTCTGGCATTGCCCTTTGAATCAGTCTTATCTCATCTTGTGTGTTTGAACTTATAAGGGCACTTTTGATATTCCCCATTCAATCTTATATTTTCAGAGTACACCTAATGTTTTAGACACCAAGTTCAATTTGACAGATAGTCAAAGCATATTAGCATTTTAAAATAAAAAAAATTAGCTCTGAGAAACACAGAAAATGCAGCAGATTTACAAATTTATCTGCATTACAATGTCAATGCTTGTACAAGTAGAAAAGAAAGTACTACATTAGAATTAACCTAAAAAACTACATTAATTTTTTTCCAGACAATTTTGGTTTGGGATTTTTATTGTTGTTTGTGTGTTTTCTATCTTTCTTTTTGGAAGAGATTGTGTATGTGTATTTTTTTCTTGTGCAGAAACCTTATTTTACTTTCATGCCAATGAGACTTCTATAAAAGTTGTCTCTTTTTTTCAAATAGCATTGATGTATTCCATTTGAATACCTGTTTTATACTTAGTAGTAGTGTTATGTTGTTAAGAATAATGCAGTTTTGCACTTACATAGTATTTTTCAACTATGTAATCAAAAAAATACAAATATAATGTTGCTACTGTATTTTACACAAACGGAGTCTTAACCACAGGGCCTGAGACATGGCACAGTATAAAGGCAGATGTTCAGGAACAGTAAAATACCTGATTCCAATTTCAGTCACCTACAAATCCTTGTATTTATATTTTAAAAACAACATGTGTATGACAAGTTTTATTTACTACACCAGTGTGCTAAGACACCGTCAGAACATTTACACAAAATATTTGCCCTTCCCTGCAAAATACAATATCAATGGGAGCTCAAAGCTTTATCTAAAAATCAAAAAACACATGCACACACACATACAAAAAAA